AATAACTTTTGTGATCAAGACATAAAATTTTATCAGATTTTCTGTACTTTGATGTATGTTTTCAAAAGAGGACATGAAGAGGCCATAAGGGGTTAAAGAAAATGACAGATCCTTGCTATTATAGAAATAGTTTTAGCATTTAAATTGCAAATGTGGAGTCTGTCAGATCTGTGTGGTGTAGGGAGACAGTGCTAGACTGAGTGTCAGAGTGCTGGTATCTCAGTCTGCCCAGCCAGTTGACAAGCTGAGAGGCATGGGGCTATGATACGTACCTTTTCTGGACTTCAGTTTTCCTTTATCTTTAATGTCCCTCCAGCTGTATAATTCTGTGATTCAATATTTCCCTTTTAGGGGCTTGAGGATATTGTTAACTCTGGCTTGATTTAGGAAATATATCAAATCTGGTTTCTGTTCAGGTTAGACTTTTCATTTCTTAAAGTAATTTTTCAAATTTACTTTTAATTTGCATGGTATTAAAAGGCTTGTCTAGTGGTCTCTTTTAAAATATTGTAAATTGTTTTTCATTAGTGATACTAATATAGCTTTACATTCTTTTAAAGAAACAATTACTATAAGTATATTTTTACTCTGATTGCAATATACTAAATGTTCATTAAAGCAAACTGTGTTGCTATAGACAACATTTTGTTAGCATTTTCCGTGGGTTCTGCATGGAAAATGACACAGCACGTTTCTTTTACAGCGTGCAGATAAACTACCTTTGAATATGTACTCTGAATTGGTAAAGTTTTATTTTCATATTTTTCAACATTTTGTTTGGAATGCTCACATGTAAATAATTGTTCAGTTAAACTGACATGTGGGTAAAGATGAAAGATACATAGAGCCCTTCATCAGCGTTCAGTTATGCGTTCAGTTATGCTCTCGACATCTCTGTCCAGTAGAACTTTTGTGGTGATGAAAATGATCTATTCAGTATGGTACTCACCTCATGGGGCTGCCGAGCACCCTGAGGCTAGTGTGACTGAGGAACTGAATTTTAAATTTTATTTAATTTTAATTAAATTTGAATATGAATAGCCACACGTGGCCAGAGGCTACCATTTATTCTTACAGTCCCCATCATAAATATTTAACTTTAGCCACTAATTCATTTCTACTTTCCTTTGCAGCCACACTCTTGAAAGAGTAGAGAGTGTGTGTGTGTGTGTGGGGGGGTGATGTTTTCATTTTTTTATATCCCATTCATTCTTTATTTTAAAGTATTAATTCTAATTCCTATTTCCATGTGATTTTTTTTTTTAAAGCGCATATGAGGGTCTCTTCTCCCCCCCACCTCTAGGCCTAGCCCAAGAGGCAATCATTTTTATTCCAGTTTGATTTCTCTTTATCTGGAGATGGTCTCCATAATCTTTTTACATCTCTTTTCTTGAAATATTTACTTTACGCGATTATTATAGACTCTCCCTTATAAAGAAGATGGTTTAATTTCAGTTAACACATGCCTCCCTTTCCTATCTAATTTGGGTAATTATATTTTTATTTTTAATTCTATTGCTTAACTTTGTGACTTTAAATACTTTCTATTTCTTCTTCATTAACTTTAGGCAGTATTTCTTGGCTTCCCACTATGTAAGATGAGAATACTAGCTTCCCTGCCTGCCTTCTACATCTCCTGGGTTTCTATCTCCCACCTTCAGTCAACTCTGCCTCTCCTTTTACAGGATCAAGTTTGATAACATTTGCATTGTGCCATTACTGTAATTATGTCTTCTGTGTCTGTCTATAGATGGATACTGAAAGTTGAAAACAAATAACAATTCATTTTAATTTTTGATCCATTGTAACTGTTAATCCTGTGCCACACAAAGGGAAAGGTTCTTAGTATGAAGATCAAGGTGAATTCTCCTTATTTCGCTTCATTAGTGAAAGTTGCTCTGAATTTTTAAGTTTGCTCCGTATTTATACTGTGACTTTCTTGTTCAGTTTTTGTTTTGCCTGGAGTTTCAGATTACTTTTA